ATCGTTTTTTGTTAAAAATATTTAATTTTAGGGGTGGGCAAACGATTTTATTTAGTTTTAAGACATGGGCAAACGATTTTTGTTAAAAATATTTAATTTAGAGGGTGGGCAAACGATTTTATTTAGTTTTAAGAGGTGGGCAATCGTTTTTTGTTAAAAATATTTAATTTTAGGGGTGGGCAAACGATTTTATTTAGTTTTAAGACATGGGCAAACGATTTTATTTAGTTTTAAGAGGTGGGCAATCGTTTTTTGTTAAAAATATTTAATTTTAGGGGTGGGCAAACGATTTTATTTAGTTTTAAGACATGGGCAAACGATTTTTGTTAAAAATATTTAATTTAGAGGGTGGGCAAACGATTTTATTTAGTTTTAAGACATGGGCAAACGTTTTTTTCTTAAAAAAACTTAGTTTTAAGGGGTGGGCAAACGATATTTTTTAATTTTAAAGGGTGGGCAAACGATTTTATTTAGTTTTAAGAGGTGGGCAATCGTTTTTTGTTAAAATATTTAATTTTAGGGGGTGGGCAAACGATTTTATTTAGTTTTAAGAGGTGGGCAATCGTTTTTTGTTAAAAATATTTAATTTTAGGGGTGGGCAAACGATTTTATTTAGTTTTAAGACATGGGCAAATGATTTTTGTTAAAAATATTTAATTTTAGGGGGTGGGCAAACGATTTTATTTAGTTTTAAGAGGTGGGCAATCGTTTTTTGTTAAAAATATTTAATTTTAAGGGGTGGGCAAACGAAATTTTTTAATTTTAAAGGGTGGGCAAACGATTTTATTCAGTTTTAAGAGGTGGGCAATCGTTTTTTGTTAAAAATATTTAATTTTAGGGGGTGGGCAAACGATTTTATTTAGTTTTAAGACATGGGCAAACGATTTTTGTTAAAAATATTTCATTTAGAGGGTGGGCAAACGATTTTATTTAGTTTTAAGACATGGGCAAACGTTTTTTCTTAAAAAAACTTAGTTTTAAGGGGTGGGCAAACGATATTTTTTAATTTTAAAGGGTGGGCAAACGATTTTATTTAGTTTTAAGAGGTGGGCAATCGTTTTTTGTTAAAAATATTTAATTTTAGGGGGTGGGCAAACGATTTTATTTAGTTTTAAGAGGTGGGCAATCGTTTTTTGTTAAAAATATTTAATTTTAAGGGGTGGGCAAACGAAATTTTTTAATTTTAAAGGGTGGGCAAACGATTTTATTCAGTTTTAAGAGGTGGGCAATCGTTTTTTGTTAAAAATATTTAATTTTAGGGGGTGGGCAAACGATTTTATTTAGTTTAAAGAGGTGGGCAAACGTTTTTTGTTAAAAATATTTAGTTTTAGAGGGTGGGCAAACGTTATAATTTTGAACAATTTTTAAAGTTGAATATTTTCAAAACTGGACGTGGTCAAAAAAAAGTAAAGGGTGGGCAAACATGGGCAACGAATGGGCAAACGATTCCAGTTTTCAAAATTTTAAAATTCAAAATTTCCCAGTACAATTTTGAAAATTTTCTAAACTTGAAGTTTTTTCAAAATTCTAAAGGGTGGGCAAACGTGGGCAAACGATGTTATTGCGATTTCCAAAAAAAAAATTTGAAAAAAGTCAACTTTTGGTTTTTCGAAAAATGATGAAAATTTTCAAAGTCGAATATTTTCAAAACTGGACGTGGGCAAAAAAAAGTAAAAGGTGGGCAAACATGGGCAAACGATGGGCAAACGATTCCAGCTTTCAAATTTCAAAAAAAAAAATTTTCCGACCCCAGCTTCTTTGAGCTAGATTTACGAGCTGTTTTACTTCCCTCTGGCCTTTTAAAATAGTTAATGCAATTTTGGGCGGGGGCGGGCATTTGTTAAAAAACAAAAATATGTCAAGGGGGCGGTGCTAAAAAGAGGCGGAGGTGAGGCGGGGGCCTGTCAATTTAATAGGTTTTTATTTTTTGCATGCCGTTCACGTCGCTGACGGCGTTCCGTTCAAGTGCAAAGATCAATGCTAGTTGATAGGGAAAAGTTGTTTTTCGTTCAACGCAGTCGAGACTTTTGACTAGTTTGTTTACTTCTCACTGAATTTGTTTATCTGCTGTTTTTAGCGAATTAAATGCCAAATCAAAAGTGTACAGAAAACCGAAAATAAAACAGGGAAATCAGACGAAGAATAGGTACGCTTTAAATTTATGGAGACCACAAAACTAAGACTATTCCTTTTTTAGAAACTCCTTTCCATAAGAATTAATAAGAATAAATCGATCATTCACCTAAAAGCTTTTATTCTATAGATGAATCCATATATTCTCTGATAGGATCGATCGCAGATATCAATTTTTAAATCTTTTCCAAAGATCTATCGCAACTACAATACCCTTGAAAGGGTATTAAAATAAAGTTGGCAGTTCCCACACATCCAAAAGCCAACGACGAACGAGGAGGTAAAAAGGGAGAGCAAAAGAGAGCAGGAGAGAAGAGAGAGATATTTAAACTTACCGGCCATGACAGTTGAACAGTTTGCGTCGATTTCAAAGCAGCGCCAGCAGCAACAACAACAACAACAATGCGGCAACAAAAACGGAGCGACAACAAAAATAACAAGAACAAAAGGAAAAAGGCGAAAGGAGCTGTCGCTCCGTCTCTTTCCTGCAAGGGCTGTCGTGTGTGTGTGCTAGCGTGCGTCTGTGTTGTTGTTGCTGTCGCCTTTCTTGAAATTTCAAAGTTGAGCGCGATTTCTTTTCTCCTTTCACTCTCCTTTCGTTGCTAAAGACGCAGAGCGCTGACTTTTGGTTATTTTTTTTCACTTATTCCTTTGATTACACTTTGGTTTCTCTTTGCCGTATATCTATTATTTGCATTTAATTCCTCGGTTTATGTTATTTTTGTAAGCACAACTTAAGCACGTAGAGGGGAAGAAAAAAACTGGAAAAGTAGGGGGAAATTTTTGTTTTTTGTTCTCCATCGTAAGCAGCGCAGCGGCAGAATTTTGGCGTGTGTTGTGCGAAAGTGTGCGTATGCCAGAGAGAGAGAGGTAAATGAAAGAGAGAGACAGAGAGCGAGTGCAGCCGGTGGTTGTGAGAGCGAAGAAAGACAAAAAAAGGAAATAACTTCACACCGATATAACGCGATTTAATCACAAACGGAATATTTGCCACCTAATCCACACTAATTATTATTTATTGCATTTGCCAAAACAAATACAAACCACTCACACACACAGAAGCATACTGATGCAGAGACACGTTTGCGCCGCCCGCTTTTGCCTTTGTTTTATCGCGTATTCCGAGCGAAAAATATACGCGAAATCTAACCTTCAAAATGGTGCACACAGAATATTATTTTGATTACTTTTCATGCATTTCGATTAGGCGAAGGGAAAAACTGAAAACCGCGTGACTTGCACATCCCGGTGCTTCGCTCTTCTCTTCGAATTGGACGCACAATCAATGGCCAATGGCTTTGTCGCAACACCCGCTTTATGCTATGTTTGCCGTGTTTATTATAGAACGCCGAAAATCAAATATGGCAAAAATCTAGCCTGACGCGAATTTGTCTGTTTTCCGATTCCGATTCACCGCCGCCTCTCTGCTGCCTCTTCTTCCCGTTTTTGCCGCCTCTTTTGCTGCACTGCTTCGTCGTTGCGTCGTAATATGAATGTGTGTGAGTGTGGCTTTTGCACAAGCGGCATTCCACTTAATATTTTGCAAAACACGCACTTTACGTACTATATACACGCTCCGGTCGCCGTTTTAACTTATTTAGTAACTAACGGATTGCAATAAATACAACGCAAAATGGAAGTACAAATTTTGTTGCAAATTTCGCACTTTACTAGAGCTGCAAAAACACCGATGTTCTTATCGATACTATCGATGTTTTTATCAAAGGCGATACATCGATTTCAACATTGATGGTATCATCGATATTGTTTTCGAACAAAATTAATCATTATTAATCAATAATTTAATTTGCAGTTCAAGTATTTAATATGTATTCTATTATCTAAAGTATACAACTTTATTTTATATCGCATACCGGTTAGATTTACGAAGATATCGGAATAATTTCGACCTAAAGGAGGTGGAAGAATAGGAAAAATGCGACACCAACTTGTATAAAAAAGGTGGATAACTGTGATTAAGTGGTGGGGAACCATGCTGAAGATATGAATATTTAAAACAATTAAAGTGACGAAAGTTATTTTTTATTTTTGAAATTGAATTCAATTCTTGGAAGTATAGAACAATCAAGGTCAATCAATCTGATTTCTTAATTTATTACGTCTTACAACTGATTCGCACAGCACTTCAGTGAAAGCTAATGGCTATGGCATTGGAATTGTCAAATTAATTCTAATCTACAAAAGAGATTTATGTGACATAAAACATAAAAAATTTCCATATCTTAATTTAGTCTTCAAAAATGTCTAACATTGGTTATATAAATATAATCTCAGCTAGACAAAGTTATTCCTTGACCTTAAGATTAGATAATCAGTAAATTACAGTAAAGTTGAGGTCCATGATAATGATCCAATTGACCCAATTCTACTTCTAAAATAACTAACAAAAAATTCAATTAACAATGTAAATTATTTTGTACTATTTTTTAACAAACAAAAAATAAGTTCCAAATTATTATTTTTCCTTAGGCTCAACCCATATTTAATATTCCATATATAATATTTTGAATTTCTGACCTATTTTATTTCCCAAAAACATTGGTAAAATAAAAAATCACAGACCTAGATTAGTAGTTCCCACGGCTAAGTATCGTTAAACAAATTAATAGTATTTAGTAGCCTCATATCAGCTGAACATGACCTACTTGAAATTCCCGAAAAATTTGTTAATTTAAAAACAATCCTGCCCAAGACCATTTCTCTCTCTCTGGTACTGCTTGTCATCTTTAATATTATAAATATTTATAGGAATATAAGCCATTCATCAACTAACCCTGACCTATTTTTCGTTTCCCGAAAAAGAAATGTGAATGTCAGAACACAGAAATCGATGGATATTTACTCACTTGGCGGCTTCTTGGCCCCGTTTATATTGATGGCCGTGTTGAGCATGTTCCCAATCTTGGTGATGCTCGACTGACGCATAAAGGTGCGCGGCGGCAGGATGGGGGCTGGTGCTGTGGCCTGCTGCAGCTGCTGCGGATCCGGCGGCTCCAGCACCGGACTCTGCCGGCCCCAGCGTCCCATGGCGAAGGTGTGCTGATGCTGTCCGGGGATCTGCAAGTAAATTGAATGATCGAATCTATTAGCAAGTGGAATGCACACACACCGATGGTTGTATAATGCAGGTGGTGGGCAGTGCGCGGGTCCCATGAGCGGGCTGCGTGTTTTCGAATTTGTCGGGTAATTAACACCTGTCGCACACCTCTCGCTCTCGGTCTCGAGCTCACCTCATCTCCCAAAAAAAAAAATAAAAAACCAAAACAAATGGGTTGTGCAAATGAATCGTCGTCGTCTCTCTTGTCGTTTGTTTACCTTAGAAATATCGTCTGCGTGCAAAGGAGAACAAAACATCTGCCTCTCGGCGATTGAATTAAAATCCGCCGCCTGCCCACCTGCGTGTTTAATAAATTTAACTTAAAGTTCTTTTTTTTCGGCCAGCCTCACAGAGAGGTGTGTCTGCTGTTGCTGGTCTTCGTCTATTTTGTGTGGTTTTGTTTTTAATAGCACACCATTTAATTTATTTCGTTCCGTCAGCTATCGAAATAATATTCCGAAATTCTTATATATTTTTCCTTAAACTGACTCTGGTGTTCCAATTAACAATTACACAAGAAGCAATTTCGCTAATCGCCAACTCAAATATTTGAGTTTCCAACTGTGAGGAGGAAGACAGCGCCGCGCGAAAACGTCAGAGTGGAAAATTTTTAGCGGTGCAAAAGAGCATTTTTGGGAAAGACAAAAACATATTTAACTAGTAATTTCCTCGACATCTGTATCATAAAACCGTTTTGGTCAAATTAATAGTTTATTCATTGCCATGGAAAACAATAACAACAGCGGAAAGCATTTGTTTAAGGCTTTAAGAAATAAGATTTTTAAACATTTTTATCATGTCGATTTTTTGAGACTCCCAAAAGCGTAACCAGCTTGCTATGTAAAAAAGCATTATTAATTTGTTGTTAACCCTTTATAAAGAGAAAAAAAAATAACAAATTAAATTCCATAGTTCATTTTTACATTGTAATGAAATATTTTAGGAAGAATTTACTTAAACAGAAAGTCAGTATTTTTCCGCTTATTGGAACCTTTTGTACTTGTTAATATAATTAAATATAATATATAATATAATTTTCATCAAAAACATCGATAATTTTCCCAGCTCTAAGATCCACCCAAAAAAATACTTGGGCTTGTTATTATAATTATTATTTTATAAAAAAAAAAGGTGAAGTTTGTTTTTAATAATGACTTCTTAAAAGCAAAAACAAGACTTAGTTACAAGCATGATAACTTGTATCGACTTTTTTATGATGGCTGTAAAATGTTCAGTTCGATTAGTTTCACTTTTGATAAATACGTTTATCATTTTTTGGGTTGTGCTCTTAAAAAAATGTATGAAAAAAACTAAGGGCGGTTCAATGAACTTGATAGAAAAATTGACTAGAAATATTTTTCGAAAGACCTTACATTAAAAGAGAGAGCTGTCAAATCCTTTTCGAATCGACAAATTGACAGTCGATTTCTGAAAGTCAACTCTAGGGAACGAAATCTCAGAATATTTAATAATTTTAATTTCAATCTATTAATCATTTTTGTTCAGATAAATTACAAGCGCTTAGAAAATCATTTTGATATAATGGCAAGTTAATCCTTGTTGGTACGATAAACCGGTTTTAAATATTTCGTATTTAATCTATTCTATAATTTTACCTTTAACCTGAAAACCAGAGAGGATTTTGGGGGTTTAAAAATTTAAATAGAATATCAGCAAGGATATTACTGATAAAAGGTCTAGGTCTAAGTAGAGCAAAATATTCTCTTCTGGCTAATCTTTGACCACATATTTGTGTGATTTTAATATAAAATTATTATTTATTTAAATACTAAGCTTTTTATAAATTATTTTCGGTGATAAATAAAGTAATATCCATATAAGAAGACAACTTTTAAACGAATTACTTGATATCTTTCTGCTTTTCATTAATAATTATGCTCCCTACAACCTTCTTAGGCTAAAATTATTTAACAATTTTGCGTACTTTTTGTTGCTACTATAATTTTGTGCCCATTTGTGCCGGTGCACACACACACACGACATGTGTCAATGTTGTGTCTGCGGTGGTGTGTACGATTTATTTCACACATTTTCGCAAATACGGATATACAGTTACAATATGAAGGCGAAATTCCCCCACGTCCATTTAAGGAGATATATATGTACATAGGTACATATATATAAATATATGTATGTTCATGCAAATCCAGGGTGTACGCAACAAGTTGAAGAGCCCCGCGACTTTTACACATGTATGACTAATGGCCAAGAAGAATAATGAAGATGAAGAAGGCAGCCAACGTGCAGAACAAAAATCAAATAACTAGAAGAAAAGAAAAATATAACAGGCGCAGAAATGCGGAGAATTGTAATCCAATTAATGGACTGCGTCTTCAATGTCTCGCCTCGTAGCCGTAGAAACGTGAGTGCGGCAGCCAATCACGTATTAAAAACCTTGCCACTTCTTCGTTATGGGGAATACAGTGGAAGTCGGCTATGGAATACTTCGCAGAAGTCTCTACTTCTCGGGTGATAAGATAAATACAGACCTGCCTCCCATAAAGTGACACAAAAGATAAATAAGAATAAATAAAATATCGCATAAGCGAAAAGATAACAAGTACAAAAGCTGCAGCTTAATATGCTTGACTTTGAGATACTCAGTATGCTTAATTTAAGTGTTAAATTAGTTTTGATACAAAAATAAATACTAATTATATTTATTATGGATCTTTTGTAATAGGACACGAAATTATGACAGTTTAAGAGCTTGATCTGTCTAAGGTTATTAATTTTATGTTGACTTTTAGTTATAACACCCTCGTCTCCTATTGATATTGGGTATAAAAACTTTATCAAATGACATTTAAATGGGTAAATTTATTACGTCTTTTGAAGTTGTCAAAGATATCATCTATTATTTATCATCTATCACGGTTAGTGAACTCTTTTTTCACATGACAAAAGATGTACAAATATTGTAAATTATTCGAGACAGAGCAAATATTACGTATACGTTAAATTGTGTACACTATTAAGAACAAACTAAGCATTATTAATAAGACTACAAAATCAATCAATATTAAACATTGTAAAAATAAAAATAAAATAATAATAATAATAAAAATACTAAATACTAAACAAAAAATACAAATACAATCTGCGACACAACAAATATTACGTATACGTATACGTACGTCGAAGTTATGTGTACTTTTAAGATGAAAAAAAAAAAAAACATTTTTTATTAGATTACAAAGTCAATCAATATTAAACATTATGTAAAAAAAAATACAATTTTAACTTAAATAAGTGCAAATTAAAATGTAACTTAGATAATTATTGTATGATATAAAATTTAAATGAGAAGAATAATCTATAAATATCCTTACTGCTTGTACAAAATAAACTTCAAAATGTGATGAATATAAGTTAACAAATAAAAATAAAACCTTTAACCATTAGTTGTTCTTAACCCACATTCACTGTTCTACCATAAATGTCATTGCAGCTCAAAAATAAACTAAGAACACTATAGAGAAACGAAAATAAACATTAGAAATGAAATGAAAGGTCTATTAAAGAGTATGTGGCATGTGAATGAGTGCAGAGACAAGCGCCAGTTTTGTTTTTCCCCCGAATTACAACAGCAACAAAAACCAAAACAACAGCAAACAAATACAGATAGAGAGAGCGATTTTCAAGAAAATAATCATGTCTGCGTTATTTTGTTGTTCGTTCTTGTTGTTGCTCGGGAAATGACAAAGACAGGCAGCGGAAGCGGGAAAAGGAACTCAAAAATAAAATTAGACAAATAAACTAAATTTTTCAATCTTCTTCTTCTGATGTATTTTAATTTATATGTTAGCATTGGGCGATAGCAAAGGAAGGTGAAATTTTCTTGGATGTGATTTCAACACGAAATATTGAATGAATTTTAAAAAGTGCATTTATCAAAATGTTATAAATACTGAATACCAAAAGGTGTAGCTTTAATAGAGTGACAAAATAATATTAATAAACCATAATAATCGGTTTATTCAAAGATGTTTTTAGCAGAATTTAAGAAGTGCCTCAATTAATATGTTATGAATAAGATGTATAACACCTGTAAGAGGTCGAAACCTTACTAATTAAACTACAAATTACTTTCAATGAAAGAACTGTTATTTAATAATTATATTAGATTAGAACATTTTTAAATTACTTTGAAGACTAAATTAATCTAATAATATATATTTTCATTCACTAAAATCACCCCAAAATTAATACACATATTAAGCTAAAATAACGAATGTTTAATTAAAGAAACAACCCCAATAGGATAAACTTCCGGTTGTCCCCCTCTTGTTTGTTATTTATTCCGCTTGAGGCAATTATTAAATTCACTTAATTAGAAAGGCCTATAAATACAAAGTGTGTCCGACAGTTTTGGAGCCACCTGAACACACGTGCCACACGAGACCCATTTGGATTCAGGAGGAGCATTTGCCGCAGCCTCCTCTACCTTTACCCCACAGAATGTGCAGAAGACTCAACAGCCGAAGTCCAACCAGGTAATCCATTGCCTGGCTCTTTGCTTATTTTTGGATCTGTCAACCCTTCTCGCGTCTGGTTTGCTTAATTTTCCCTTAATGTGGGCGGGGAAGGGGCGTTTTCTGCCGCTGCTGCTAGATTGTTTATATTTAGCTTTTCTCATGCGCTCGCATTTGCCAAACTGTCTATAATATGTCCATCAAAGTGTCTCTTGTGCCGGTACGCGCTGCGTTGACGGTTTGACAGCCATTGGCGGTACGCAGGACAGCCGCATTTGCAGGGAGGAAGGGGGGAGGGTACACACATATAAAAAAAACAATATAAAGATAAACAATCGGATGGGACGGACGTGATTGCTACCATATGTCCGGTCGGATCAATGCGACCAATATTGTGCTTATCAAACTGTTTCGGCGCATCCAATTAATACACTTCACGGCCCCTCAACCCTCACTCCACTCGTGACACTGTCGGCTATAATGAAACTAATTAGCATTTGACAAACACCATTCCTCATCATATATATTAAGTCCATACAGTGGGCATTAGGAAACAAATAGAGAAAAAATGCTCTCAAAATAACAGAGATTTCTAGAAAAATATAAATGTGCTATGTTGCAATTAAGATTCTGATTTAAGAGAGTTATATCTTATATGATTTATGAAAAAAGAAGTACTTTTCAATAACTTCAAATATTAAGTATGCGATAAATATTCAAAAATAATTGCTATTTAATTTTAATATGCACTTTATATTTGTCAATATATCAAACAAAATAAATATATGTTAAAATAAATTATAAACAGCCCATCAGCATTAACATTTGCACAGTTAAATTAAATTAACACATTTGCATTTGAGAATTTTAGTGCAATGACAGCGGTAAGTGCTTTGTTTGCAATGAGCTTTGTTTAGCTTTAGGGATCTAATAATTAGAATCTTGTTCCTAAAAAATTATATATTTATTGTATATTTAAATAGAGTCTCAATAGCAAATAAGTTTGCTCAAAGTGTTTCTTTCGAGATTCCTGTTAAAAATGTACATATTTGTGAGAACAATTTAATAAAATGATTTGCTTTTCTAAGTAGTATCCTTTAAAAGGATTGCTGTAAAAAATATGTACAATTAAAGTTAAAATGTAATCTTATGAAATGAAGTAACCCAAAGTAAACGCTTTAGCCCCACTGTATTAATAAAGAATACAAATAAGTACAGGACCAAAAGTATTGAGGTTTTGTACTCCAGTTGGAAAAACAAATTATAAGCTCCCACAAATAATGATACACAGCAGTCACATGGAGAATCGAAATCAAGATAAATGCGATTGCTATGTAGTATGCGGCTTTGTTCGTGTTTTCCTATTTTTTTTTTTTTTAACAATTTGTTCGATTTGCTAATGCGAACAGCTTAGGCAAATATTTTGGCATAAAAGTCAGCAAGTGACAAAATAGTAGCTATTAATTGTTTGTAAGCCGACTGAGTTGCTCGGCGTCTAAACATGGCCAGTGCGAGTCAATAGTTGTTGTTGACTGTTTGGTTCCGACCGAAACAAAGCCGCCTGAAAATGTTGTTAACCTCAGAAACCGCCAAGAACGTCAACAAGTGAAACATGGAATCGGTGGGGCTAAAAGTAAGATACACTTGGAAAAGAAGTTCCATTGAATTTTGGGATCATCTTTGGATAGTATCAATCTTTTAGATTTAGACTTTTCTATCTCAAATTGCGGAAACACTAACCAGTCTTCTTTAAGATAAAGCTTTTTAATGGCAACTTAATTGTGATAACGTCTTAAATATTTACCAATAATTCAAAATTGCCTAATAAATTCAAAGAAAATTATAAAAGTAAAGAGATTTTATCATAAATACTGGTATAAATTTAAATTACACAGCATGGTCTAAAAATTAACAATATACCGACTTCCTAAAGGTAAATAAATATTTGGGAATCCCTAAACTATGTTAGGATAATAATAATAATAAGATAAATAAATGATTCAGTTTTATTTTAATGATTTGATTTGTTTTAAATTATTTATTAAGAAAACATCTTTAATTCGAAGTAATTTTGTAATTTTATTGGGCTGGAATTGTTTACTTAAAATATTGAAAATGAAGTAGGTAAGCTTTATCTATTTATTAAGGAAAACTAGTTTTTGAATTCGAAAAAAAATGAAGTGCTCCATTTCTCCCTTTCTTCTTTTTATTCCAAGTGTAGAGAAACTAGAGATAGAGAATCATTCGTCGGATTTAGACACCCCCTGCAAAAAGGTTGACGTAACGACTCTAGAAACAGTCTAAAAGCTAAACTCTTAGCATTTCCAGGCTTTTTTTATTTTGCGGTATTGAAACAGCTGTCTTGCCCATATCCGTGGCATTTGAATGGAAACCACACACGCGCGATTTAATAAACATTTTAGCACTTTTGTGCAGCAGTCAACTCACCAGCGGGTTCTGGAGAGTCCAAGCACCACAAAGAAAGGGGAACGCAGCGGATATCAGAAATCGAAAACCTGAAGAATCACAGCCAATTCGAACATGAACACTTGTTTTTTTTTATATATTTTAATTGACTGTTTTTAGATATGTCATAATTTTCCTATGCAGTTGGCTATTTTTAAATATTCCTCTGATTTGGTTTTTTTTTTTGGGTTTCTTTTTATTTTTATGTTCTGTTCATTTTCTGCGCCTTGAGATCGTTCTCTCACTCTCTTGCGCTCTCCACACTGTTGTAACGGTTAAAATTCCTGTCTGCACATTCGATTTTCTTCACTTCTTCGCCACTCGGCGGCTTTTATTTGTTATTTGTTGTTATCACACGCAAAAGGCGTACAAAGGCACAATGTAAAGCTAATTTAAATTGAATTCAGCGCCCGGGAGCAAGTGGAAAATGAGGAAACCGCAATAAGGCGAAACAGTCAACGCGGCGACGTTAAAATTAGCTCTGAAACGCCGTGCGAATGCGCGCCTATGATTTCTTTGCCCATTGTGCTGACAGAGCTTTTGGGGCCATAAATAAAAGCTAGATCAACAAGTGAAAAAGTAGCTGAACGAAAGCAAAAAGGATTTTCAGTCGGGAATGCTACTGGAGGGTATTATAATAAAACAATATAATAAATCAAACAAAAAAAAAACTAAATAGAAATAAAAATAATATAATAATAATAAATGTGTTTTCTTGTTGATGTGTTTTACTTTGTTTTAAAAACATAAGAAAAAGTCCAGGAAAATCCGCTCTAAACCAGGTAAAATAATTGTGAAACACTTTTTTTGAAGTGCTCAGATTTATCTTTCGTTTTTGTTTTTAACAGAAAAATAGGTGAGAATTGGGGCACGCTGATTGGTTAGTAACAATTGAATATTTTTAGAATATCGATCTGCAAACTTTAAGCTTTTAATTCAGAGCTCTGAAGAGTACCATAAATATTTTATAATTATAAGAAATTAGATGTTTCCAAAGACACACTGATCAATAGTAGCAGTAGTCTTTTCATAGCTTTTCGATCTTCTAGTTTTCGTATATTTCAGGATTTACTCTTAAAGCTTTCAATTTAGCCAAATGGACAACACTGTTCACCAAAACTGCTCGCTCTCAGTCTCTCATTAGTCCTCTCTTCCTCTCGCTCTCAGTAGCTGGCGATGACCGTGGGGCTGAGACAGCCGGCGCTCTCTTTTGAAGAAGATTTTTGTAAACAAAACCGCGACACGCATTGTTGGTGCTAATGCCATTGTTGTTGTTCTGATAAACGCTAATTTGCCTATTGATATTGATGTTAATGCGCCTTCTCTCGCTCATACAGTCCCGTTCACGGCAATAGCAGTTAAGTGAAGTGCAAAATATTACAGTAATTTAATATTTTAGTCAAATATTCCGAATTCAACACGATTTGCATTACAAGTTTTTAAATAAATTAATAAATTTAATAATCAAAACGTATATTACAAAAATACATTTAAAGGATATATATACATTTTAATAATATATGATTGCTTATGTATTTCTTACAATAATAATAATATTAAGACATAGGAGAAATGCAATTAATATTTATTAAAGAGTTCAAAAATTGCCTTCTCGAAAATTTCCAAAGTTTAAATCTTGGTAAATGTATTTACTATTGCCTTGACCACAATTGTTGTCATTTATTTGAGGGTGGGTGTGTTTTGTTTACTCTTTTGGAGCTGCTTAAAAAAACACATTCAATTGCTATGGTGGCCTCTATTAAATCACATTCCACCAGAGATCCCTGCACTCCTTGGGCAGCATCGATGTACATAAATGCCCTTGTTCACTAAGATAAAGTACCTGAGACGAGTAGTTACTAATAACGTGTCTTGGGAACATTTCTACTTTTTGTATTTTATAGTAAAAAACCCCCTAATAAAGGTTCCTCAGAGTAGTTTAATTAATTATTTATGACACTCTTAGCTTCCTATCATTGCCATTCTACTGCAGCAAAACTGCACTTTACCACATATCCCTGTAGGCTCTAACCAGCAATTGCCTGTCTTTATCCGAACTGGTCGACTCGAGGCGTAGAACTTGATCGTATTTGCTCCAGTCCTTGATGGTGTGGTGGAACATCACCTCCAGGACAAGAAGTTGCTCGTACAGGATATCCCATCCCACGCCGATGGTGGCGGCACAGGTCTCGAGGAGCCAGCGGAAGGAGCAGGGGAAAAACGTACGCAGCGCTCGCTTATCCGACTCCCGAATCTTGTTCGTGAAGCCATGCAGAAGCCAGCAGTCAAAGTTGGAGACTTGCAGCGTTAACTCCTCCAGCTCTGTTGGCGACTGATCTGGTTCTTCCCCGACAACGCTATCCGATTCTGGCGCCAAATCGCTGTTTGTCAGTTTCTTGTCTAGATGGCGGCGTGGCAGATCCAGGGGCACTTCCAACGGGTCCATATCCTCCTCCCCGAATGTTTGTATCGAGCTAAGGCTGTCGAGAAGAACCTCCTCATCATTATTGAGTTTGATTGCGTATCTGGGGGTCGCTTTGATCTCCCAAAAGGGATTGGCAGCCTCCAACCGCTCCCTCAGCGAGTGTCGTTGCTGTAACCTGGCCAGATAGGCGGCTCCATAGGTGGCAATGGGTTGACGAAATTGGAAGTCCGGACGTTTCTCCTTCCTTTTGAGTTCATTGATCCATGTCTCGCTCTTAATGTCACAATTGGCTCGGAATTCACGCGTAGCTGGAACTACAGCGGCAAGGGGATGAAAGAGACCACCTTTTAATGTCCTCCTGGCAGGGGACCTCCACCACATGCATCTTCACCCCGCGCTGAGCTAAATATTTCTTTAAATCGTTGGTTTCCCCGATGAAGGGATCTAGGTCCCGCTGTGAATGATCCACGTTCATGTAGTCGGGAATGTCGATGGTCATGGCGTCTTCTTTGGTCTGTGAGATGTGATGCAGGATCCGTTTGAAGTATGTGTGAGCGGGTGTCAGGCTGTGCTGAAATTCAATGTGATTTTTGCCGATGCTATCTTCAATAGACTCGCCAAAGTGCTCCTTCAGGAGGGTCTCCATTGTGTGCGTCATATTCTCGTATTGACGCTGCATAGCCATTCCATGCAGGTCGTAGTTGCCGTATTCCTGCTCCCTCTGCTTGCGATCCTTTATGAGGATATCATCCACCTGGCAGTCCGTTTTGTTTGGCACTCCAAAGCGACTAGCGAAGCTCTGGTTGTACTGAGCAACTATCACTTTCCTCAGCTCTACAAACTGCATCCACTCGGTAAATACAAAGAGCGGGGGTATTTTAGGATCTGGTCCTACTGAACTCAGTATTTCTTCATTGATTTGCTTCGCTGACATCGAGATCTTCTTCTCTTTGACGTCGTCCAGTCCAAAGAGCAACTTCATTACATACACGATATAGGCCATCACCCTGGGCTCGTAGCGCGGATATACGTTAAAGCCCGGGGGGCAAGTGAACCTCGGCGGATACAGCTCTATCAAGCTGCCCACATACTTGGCGACCCGAGGCGGTAGGCCTAGCTCAAGGACATAGCGTTCGGCCAGGGCCAGAAGATTTGGCGTTTGAAATTCACTCAGATTTATAAAATGCGCCATATGAGCCACGTGGGTGCGAAGGAACTGCGAGAAAAAAGAAAGATTGAGTAAAGCATTCCACTGAGAACATGCAAACGAGGACAAAACGTTAAAATACAATAGAAAATACCCTACCGTATATGAGCACTGGTCCCTGTGATTACCATGCTCTACCTCCTTGAGCAATGTCTTTCCTTGGGCGGCCACATTATCGGGCAGATACTTTAGCATATATCGGCTGGTCAGGTGCTCCTCTTCGACTAGCCGCAGCAAATCTGTTAGCTGGATGTCGTCTTCGATCATGTTAAGGGCTATAGCCAATACCACATATAACTTGTGCAAATTCAGATTGTATATATGTCGATCGAAGTTATGCAGTTCCTTGGCCTTGGGCCTCAGACCATGGCACTGCATGCTGCTAACCCTGCTGTGCTTGTCCAAATGCTTTAATGGCATCTTGCTCTTTAGCGTCTTGCGGGCTTTCCAGGACCATCGCAGGCCGACACTCTGTTTTGCGCTTTGCTCTGAGACTCCGCTTCTCTTGTAGCCCGAGGCGTCAAGATTGCGCTGGAAAGGAGAGCAAGGTTTTAGTCTCGAGATAAAAGCTGGAGGTAGGAACTCTAACTAATGAGCGGCGTAATTATGTCATTTGCATACCCCAATGTAGAGCACTTGGCTATAAAAGCAGAACATGGCCAAAGACAAGTCAGTAGCAGCAGCTTCACTTGCTTCAAACATGTCTCTGCGTCTGGTTTTGATTTGCTTGGCCATCTTGGCGGTGGCATATGCTCAGCCGGCTCCGGGAGCACCCCAGGAAGCCATCGAGAGTGAGTATAACGAGGATATTTTAGTTTCTTAAAGATACTGTAAATAACATTAAAAATCTATAGCTTCTGAGCCAGTTGAAGGGACTTTGGTGGAACCACTGAATGAGGCTAAGCCGCGTACCCTTGTATTGCTGCTGCCCCTGCTGTTCCCCGACACATTCTATTTCTCTTAAATTTATGTTTTAAATAAACCATTTTAATTTGAGTATCAAGAATCACCTTGGTTTTGTTCCATTTGCGAAACTTAGCGCGCTCATCATTGGGATCGACAGAAGCGCTGCCCCTCCTGATCTTCTTGAGCTTTGTCCGCTTGTAGTTGTAAATGATGCGTGCATCTCTATAGGAATTGAGTGTTTTAAGTCAATTGTTTAGAAATTATGCCTTCCTGCTTCTTATTTATCCTCCAACCCACCTGTCCAGTGCCCGTACATTAAGCTTGGGCAGACCGAAATCGTCGTTCCTGCAGAAGGCGACCTCCATTTGGCCCATGTACGCCGCCCATACCTGCAGGGACATCAGCTTGAGCTCCGGCTTGGCGCCCATGTCGAGCAGCTCCTGAACGAAGCCGCGCAGCACATAGTTGTAGAATTCCCACGAGGTGATGTCGTTCTCCTCGGTATTGGCCAAATCCTTTGGACGCCGTATAACTCGGCTGGTATGCTTTCCAGCACCGGTTTCGTTAAACTCTTCGTCGGCGATGAGCTCCACCGCCTGAATCTTTTCCTTCTGTGTGCCGCACTCCTCGCAGTAGAAAAATCCCTCGCGCTCCTGGAATTTGTCCTCGCCGCACAATGTGCACTTCAAATCGACACCCTCCATCTTTATTTATGTTATTTTTTCGGATTGTTAATTTAATAAACAAAATTGAAACGTGCTTGCTCATTAGTGATGTGACTCTGTCATATCTTGCACATCTCTAATCTTTTCTGAGTTCTTGTCGATTATCGATAATTGGCGCGTTATTCAAATAATGCCTCTTGCTTGCAGTTTGCAATTGAACAAAAGTTCGGTAGTTGAAAAAGTCTATCAAGAGAAATAAATACATAAGTAAAAACCTCGAATATCCGAAAAATTTGAGTAATTTAAATTTGCATTACAAATTTATCAAAACTTTTACGGTCTTACATTTATAAATGTTTCTATACAAAACAAGAAAGGAAGCTAACATTACATTCACAGATTTGCATTTTTCTTCTACATCAAACGATCGTTTGTATGGCACGTATATGATATAGTCGTCCGATTTTCATGAAATTTGACACAAAGTTTAAGAATAATATATAATTGCTATACCTCAAATTTGATGAAAATCTGTTGAAAACTGAAAAAGTTATAATTTTTAATTGTATTAATTTCTCGATTGTTCCTATGGGAGCTATATGATATAGTAGTACGATTTTCACAAAATTTTACACAAAACTGAAGAGTATAATAAAATGGCTATATTTTAAATTTGATCCAATTCTATTGAAAACTGAAAATGTTAAAAATTTTTTTGTAAAAATTTTCCGATCATTTTCCGCTGTTGTTCCGATCATTCCTATGGAAGCTATATGATATAGTCGTCCGATCCGTTCCGACATATATACGAGTGAGAGTATATAGAAGGCTAACTACAAAGTTTCATTCAGATAGCTTCAAAACTGAGAGACTAGTTTGCGTAGAAACGGACAGACGGACAGGACATGGCTAGATCGACTCGGCTGTTGATCCTGATCAAGAATATATATACTTTATATAGTCGGAGGTGCCTCCTTCACTGCGTTGCAAACTTCTGACTGAAATTATAATACCCTGCAAGGGTATAAAAATGGTCATGGAAATTTGATGAGATATATTGATATGTGACATATTATATGGTCGTTCGCTGCGATTTATATACTGCCTGCTAAAAATGACGATTCATTCAGAAGCTCACTTTTTTTTTTGTTAAATGAGAAAACCAGAATATCTTCAGTTATGTCAGTATCTTTTTTTGTTTGTTTATTGCACAATTACAATATACATGTGTTCACTTTCGTATAATTTATTAAAACTAAAGTTACTAAAGTATAGCAAAAAATGTGTAAGAGGGGGAAAAGGGACTAACTAAATCTGCGGGTGGGAAGGGTCTGGGGCGTCGCGTGGGTTAGTGAAGAAAACATAAACAACAGCAAGGTTGGCGGCACAGAGCCCTTGAAACCGCAACTAAACTAGATCTGTGGCTAATTTCGTTTCATTTCGTATAAAACACAACAGTTTTAACAGGTTTGCTTGAAGAGAAAGCATAATAACAAGGTTTCATTTCATATTTTCCTTCTTTTGTTTTGGGAGTTAGAAGGGCAGGTTTTTATAGCTAAGATATAGTCACGATTATCTAATATGGTACATTCACTTATTTTTTTGTGTGTATTTTCTTATAATTTTTTTTGTTGTAATTTGTTAGCATAGGATTTTTTTTATAAAAAAAATACAATTTTGTTTGTTGAGAGCTTAACAAAAACGCAAGCTAAACACTAACTTAGGCGATCGGATTCGATTCCGTAGAGACAATAAATATTTCATTCATGTTTCGGGGATATATAATCGGTTAACGCGGTATATGTAAAACTATTACTAGGATAGCGTATCAAAAATATTCATATAAACATTCGTATATATTTTCACTCAAGTCTTAAAAGTACAATTGGGCTTTCAATATGAATTTCGGCGGAGGAGAAGGCATTATTAAACCACAATGTGCGCGTTATGGTTTCATTTTTGAATGGGTTTCCGGGGGTTGCCTGGGAAAGGGCGGGTTGGTTGCTTAGTTGGCTGGGTTGCTCTTCTAAATGGTCATCAGTGGGGGTCAATTTGTACAACTGACTGTGGGTTTAAACTAATTATAAAATAGGAGCTTAATCTAAGTAGTTTATATATATATATGGTTCTTTCTCTTGCGTCGCTCTTTCTCACACACGTTCACTCTATAAGGCACAGAATATTTGTTACATCAGTTGTTGCTTTCTTCATTTTATACACATAAATACTTTTCTGCTTAATGAAAATAAATACTAGAATTAATTACAAAAAATGTACACGAATATGGTGGGGAGGAGATGATGCGTTGGTGTTAGGGGGCTACACCTCCACGCCATAGTTGCGATCGACAATGTAGTCGTAGCGCTGTTGTTCTGGCGTGATGTCACCATCAGTGGGTGGAGCAGAAGCTGCAGCTGGTCCAGGATTGGCAGCAGCAGGAGCAGGAGCCGGAGCAGGAGCAGGTGAAGCAGCAGGAGTGGCAGCAGGAGAGGCAGCTGGAACTTCAGCTGGACTAATAGCAGGAGCAGCATTTAATGTTGGTTTTTGGGCACTGCACCGGTCACCGACTATGGTGATGGTGCTCACTGAGATTCTTGTTCCTGTTGCTGCTGGCCACCAATGCCGTATTGATGGCAATTGCCGTCTCAGCAGAATTGTAGAACTCATCTTCGTCCTCTTCCTCCTCCTCCTCCTCTTCTTCGATGGGATTGGCCTCCGGCAGAGTGAATTCAATGGGCAGCTCCGGCACCGACAGTCCCTTGCGTGTGAAAAAGGTGATCTTTCCCTGTTAAGAAATTAAATTAAATATAAATAAAGATTTCTAATAATTTCCAGTAAGAGAATGACTTACTTGAACGACACTAGATCGGGACAGCCCTTGGGCACCTTGGTTTTGCGCAGCTTGTGAATCTCTTTGGCGGTCTTCATCAGCAGCTTCTGGAGCTGACGCTCCTCGGGACACTTGGCGGGATCGGCACGAGCCACCAGCGTTGGAACTCCTCGTTCTCAATGGCCCAGGCGGCAATCAATGGATCCTTGTTCTCGCAGGCTTCTGCAAACTGTTGGATAAAAGAAAAGCATTTCAATGAGTCTTGATTTCTTTTGGGGTTTAATATTCAACTTACACTTCTTTGAGGTTCTGCAGCTTGGCAATTTGATCGTTGAGGAAGTAAGCTTGCTGTGCTGCGCCTGCAGATCGAGCTCCAATCCAAGCTGGTGCGGGGTATTGAGTATGTAGTTCTGGAATTAAATATATGGTTTAGGTATTATATGACTGTTGTTTATCTTAAATCCTGATTGACTTACTTGTGACAGGCTTGGGTGCCTTAGTGTGGAAGCGCAGGGATCGTCGCTCTGCGGCGCCGCGCTGGAAGGTATGAGGAGCCACTCCACAATGCATGGCTGAGTCAGAGTCGCTACGATTCAAGCGGCAATTGTAACGATTCTTGCTAACGGCCGCCGAGGGCGTAAAGGTCTGTGATCGCTTAACGGGCCTATCGTCCATTAGCTGCGATTGACCACGAGACTTCTCTGGGAGGAAGGCGCAGTCAGTGTTTGTTTCCTTGTCGGCAAACTCCTGCTTCATGTTCTGCAGATAGGCATCAAGCATGCAGCTGGCTGTTTTATAAAGGTTTTAATAAAGAAAACATTAAATTAGAAAGTGAAACCAAGTGAAGAGTAGATTGAACTTACAGTTCGTTGCGCCAACATCGTTAATGAGCTGCTTGTCATCGTCCTCCTCTTCCTCCTCCTCATCATCATCGTCATCGTCGTCGTCATCGCTGCACTCTTGCTCATTGGGACAACCCTTCTCCGGCTGCTCTTCAGCAATTTGCGCCTGCATTTCCATCGGCGGCGCCTGATTGCGTGTCAGGGTCGAAGTCTGCGAGGAAGTGATGGTGGACTCATCCGAAGACTCCTCTCGAGTGCCAACACTCGTGCTGGAATTGGAACTGGCGGCAGCAACAGCGGCTGCCGCTGCTGCAGCACTGGTGGAGGGAATGTCCAGGGACTCAAAGCTGGGAATGAACTTGGAGCTTAGAACGTTGTACCACTTTAAGGTGGAATCCTCCGGATTAAACTCGGCCATACTGATCTGGACAGTGCCCTGGAATAAATGCATACAGAAATGTTTTAGAAAACTTATGAAGGAGTATTCTTTAGAGAATGTTGAGGAACATCTACTTACAATAATCTCCTCCTTCTGTCCCGTCATGGTAACCACTGTGACCTGCAGGCTCTTGGTCAGCAGCTTGTCCAGCGTAATGGGCACTGCGAATGTGTCATTAAAGACGGGCTTCTGGAAATCTCCCAAGGCCTTGGTCCGTATGGAGGTGAGTGAATTCGGCAGCAAAGCGGCACGCAGATATCTAATGAATATTACAATTAATATTTGTAATAATAATTTTGCTTAAAGAGTAACTTACACTTGTGAGTTGTCCGACGAGGCCGTCCATAGAGCCAACAGATTGTTGGCCCGTTCCAGGGACACCACCAGCACACCCTCCTGCTTCAGATACTTGAGTCCTATTTGAACTTGGGCCAACTCCTTGCGCGGCAGATGGGCACGCGATGCCTCAAAGACACCGGAATCGCCGGCCACCGATTCATTGCTAACTGCCGCCGAAACGGATCTCGTATTGGATGTGGAGGATGAGCGGCTGAGCATCTCCTGCGGCAGATCCAGCAGCGAGGGCTTCTCCGAAATGGGTGAGAGTGGGGCCGAAGCGGCCAGGGTAAGGGGTGTTGCACCCAAATTCAACTTCTGCAGCTTCGCCTCCAGCATCATGCAATCGAGGACCGTGGAGTCGAGGTCATAGGGACGGGCTCGAACCCCAGAAAGTGGAACTGGCGGCGGGGCTGTGTAGGCGGGCGGGGCGGGCAGAGCATTGGCATAGGTGGGCTCCTCCTTAAGGTTCTGTGGTGTTTGATTATCCGCTCCAGGATTATACTTCATCGGTGAGGCGGGCGGCGTTTCCATGGACAGGCTGCTGCGCGGCGAGAGCGAGACCTCCGAGGACTGCTGTTGCTGCAGACAGGATGCACAGGATGAACGGGATGCAGGCGCTGTTGGAACAATCGCTGCGAACGCCGTCTCAATCCACCACATCGATGGGTGAATCCACCGCGAAGGGATCGATGTAGATGTCGGTGAAGCTCAGAGCACTCTTACTGCTGGCGGTGGACAGGGATCCCAGGCTGCTGCCGCTGCTAATGGAGAAGGTGCTCTCCGAGGAGAAGGACTTGAGTCGCTCCTCCAGCAGTTTGGTGGACTTGAGGGCCTCCTGCAGCTTATCCAGCAGCAGCTGCTTCTCCTCGTGGAAGCGCAACCGGTTGGCCACACATGTGTTGTTGGCCTCGTACGCCTCCTTGAGGTCCTCCTCTAGTTTGTGACGGGTCTGCTGGATCACCCGCTTCTCCTCCTCGCTGCGCGACTTCACCGAGATGCTGTTGAGGTCATTCAGCAACTTCTCCTTCTCCTGGATCAGCAGAATGCGATCCTTGTCCGACTCCAACTGACCCGGCTCAATGCGTTCCACATGGTCAGCCAGCTGCTGCTGCAGCTTCTTGATGTGCTTCCGCCACTCGGCATACTGCAGCTTGGTCTTGGCCATCTCCGCAAAGCGAGCTCCTCCATTCAGATTGTCGCCCGACACAGAACCACACAGATCCGTCTGACTGGCCACACACACTCGGTCGAAGGGCGAGGCGAGATCCGAGTTCTCCTCGCTAATCTGCTGGCGACTCAGCTCGTTCTTGATCTGCACCAGACTGCGCATGAGCTCCTCGCGCACCTTCTCGCCGGACACCAGCGACTTGTGCACCTTGAGCATTTCCTCGCGTATTGCCTGGACCTCGGCAATGTCATAGCATCCATTTTGCCGAGCATTGATCTTCTCGCCCACGGAATACAGGGTATTCATGCCGCGTTCCGTGTACGAAATATCATTGGTAATGTGGGTCAGCTCCTGCTTCAGCTGATGGACACGTTCCTTGGCCAGCATTAAGTCGGCTCTCAGGAGCTCTGGATCATGTCGGCTCATCGAGCTGGAGGAAGAGCACACTGGAAAACAAGATAGGAGATGATGGAAATATTTTATTTGAGAAGCTGTTAATATCTGTTATATCTCTTAAAAATGACTTGTTTTGTTTGTCTTTTGTTGATTGATTACTGTTTGGATTTTAAAAAATAGCAAAAGGTGATAAGGATAATTTAAAAGTGTTTGTTCAATGGAAATCAAGAAATAGTTCTTGGAAAATATAGGCCATATCAGTTTTAAGTGAGTTTACATGGAAATTATTATAGATGAAGGACTTTTAATTGTTAAATCCTAACAAGTAATTTCGATAAGATACTTCCATGTAATATTCATTATTCAGATTAAGTTACTCAAATAACTAAGAGAATTAATTTAAATTATTCTGACATTTTCTATACTTACAACTGCTTCGACTGGCTGCCTGTTTAAGGTGATTGTACTCCTCTTGGGCCCAAAGAAGACGCTGCTGTTTCACATCGAACATCTCCCGCTTGTTCTCCAACTGATCCTGCGCCGCTGATAGGTAATCGCTTAGCATCTGCTCCTGGACACTCTTCCATTCCTGGCGCGGATCCTCCAGCTGTGTGCTCTGCTCCAAATGGTTGATATAGTAGAGACCAATCATGGGGTCATAGGACTCCTCCCAGCCCATGGGCAGCTCATCGCCCACACAATCCTCAAAGGTCTGTGGCTTTGTGTAGCTGTAAATGTAAGATAATAAAAATTATAAATTAATATATATATATTTCCTTTAATTAATTAAATATGTGAATTTAATTATAAATTGTAATTTGTTAAGAACTAAACATTTTCCTTTACATAATCTTATATTTAACACTTATAGATAGAGAGAGACAAGGATTTCCTTTGAATTTCCCATATCTTGAGATGTATCTCAACCTGTTCCCACGCCAGTTAGTTTTGGTGCTTGGAATTCGATAAGATTAACAGCATTTCCTGTGTGCATTTTGGCTAAAAAGAAAAGGTGCCTCCGGTGGAAAGAAATGTCGCAGAAATACCAATTTTTACCGCAGCCATGCGGCGGAATGTCTGCGTTCTGTTTGTTGGTGCCAATTGCCAACTCGCTGCCTAATCTTATCGAGGCCATAATTATATTCGCATAGTGCGGCAAGAAAGCAAAACATAAATTCGAAAAAGAAAAAATAAATAAAACCAAAAACTGATGACGATGACAGTGTCGTCGTCGTCGTCGTAGTCTTCCACCTCCTCCTCCAGCAGGCAAGATCCATCCACTCCTTTGTCTGATTGCCTCGATTTCAATATCAGGCAACAGCATTTTCGCATTCCAATGATAATTGCTAATCGCCATGGATTGATTGTCAAAAACATACACACATTCATCCATGCACTGAGGAAAAACGGTGCACTATTTTATAAATAAACCAGAAATTTAAGTTTAAAAGAAAAGAGTTCTTAAATGAATCTTGTATTTAAATACTATTATGGGGTAGAGTCTTTAATAAGTATTTATCATATTTAATGAGTGCTGTTATTTAAACTCCATTTATTTGAGAAATTGTTAAGTACTTTATTCTCTGTGTATTCTTAATAATCAGATATCTATGTGTCCCTCTTTAATTGTAAATTTATATATGGTATTTTTTGTATTATTTGTTTTCTTTAAGGCCTTCCTTCTCTTTGGCATACTGTTAATTAATCATTGCTTTGGAATTCGCACAGCCATTAAAGAAGAAGCTCCCGGAGAATATATATACACAGATAATAATATCTGCGCCATATGCTATAGATATTCACCACGGACAGTGCGTTTCAGGGTTGTAAAACCAAACTTGCAGTTCAATGAACGATACAAAGGCGAACAAAGATCTCACATTTGCAATTCTACGAGTAATTATGGGAATGTTTTATAAAGAAAAGTATTTAAAACGAATAAATGTAACATTAAGACATATTGCAAAGGAATAAACTTAAAGTTTATGATTAAAAGTGCTTTCAAATGATACAGAAATGATAATCAGCAATGGTATTGATTAAACTATTGAACTGAATCAGCTGTCAAATATAATAAATTGTTATTTATGAGCCAAATTTAGACATCGAATGACCGAGAGTATTATATTTGCACCTCTATTGATATCTACTGTTTATTATGTACATATATATATCCACCAGATATCAGATACACAGATTGCAGCTCAACTTGCTGTCTATCATTTTCTTAGAATGTATCTCAGAGCCACGAGCCATTTTTGCCTTCTGTTTGCATTTTTAGACATATTTTTCAGTTCGTTGCTGTTTTATCTGGAATCGAATGTTGACGCAGCCATTGAAAATAAAATTAACGCAGCTGCTGCTGGCGACTAACAATTGATTTTGTTTATGATTGACTGGAAATACGCCGTGCTATTCAAATAAACAAACAAAACACACAAAAAAAAATAAAGAAAGAAAAACCCAAAGATGAGCGCCGCTGACTAAAGATTTATTTTTGTAGTAAGTAATCAGTGGATTTTTTGGAAGTGCAAGGATTTGGGTCATAAATTAAACGAAGGCGTGTGTTTCTTATAATAAGTTTGAAATCTGCTTGTTAAGTTAAGATTTCGTTAATCTGCGGTTATAATTCGTTTGATTTGTTGAACAAACATAGCAAAAATACCCAGATAATAGATTGATTGACATCAATGACGTCTAAGAGTGGAATGCAGAGATCTAAAGCAATCGCTAAATACCCTATCAATTTATTTTAACAGAAGAAATGATTTCTTTTTTAAATAAAATAATTATCAAATAAAATAATAATCTGCATTTAAAGTTAATTTCACCTACTAAGATTACATAGCATAAGACACGTTTCTACCATTTTTTATCTCACCTTAAACTCATCTTAAGTTTGACATTATTTTTAATATTTAAGTACAAAGATGTCACGTTTTGTCTTGATAAAATGTACTTAATAAAAATGTGACAAACCCTAGATACTACTAATTATATCTAATAACACATTTTAAACGGGTCCAAATGATTAAAACACCTCCTAAAGTGTAGAATTACTTGTGAACGTGCTCTTGGGCAGGAACGCCAGGCAATAATATTAAAGAGTCATTGGCGATAGCTTATTATTGATATTGTGGTAGTATTTATATACACATGCACATCTAAGTACGCTCGTACTGTTTATTGCAATTGATTGAATTAAACGCTGGCGTTTAATAAGTAAACGGAACAAGGTTCATCCACTTTGCCCCCGTTGAAAACAACAAAGGAAAAGTGACACAGAAACATAGTTTGTGGGAAGCAGAAAATATAAATAATAATAATAAATAAACTGATACACAAAATGCATTGACAACATGCGCCAGTCTCCCTCTCTATCTCCTAGGTGCAAAGCTCCACATTTGACACACAAAACAAACCGATCTCACGATCACCCAAAGACAATCACCAGTGAATAAATACATGACTTTGACGACTTTGATTCGGATTCGATGTCGTGGTCGCCTCGTGGATGGATTGTGGCCTGTCGATGTCAACAAAACACACACACAACGGTATGGTTTCATAATTTTAAATCAACAAATTTTTTATTTATTTTTCCAGTGACTTTTCTTGTTTATTTTTATTTTTTCTCTCTTACAGTTTTGTAAGACAAGTTAAGTAAATGGCACACTCACAGCTTGCCATCTTGCATTACAGTCGGCAAAAGGTTTCAATAGAAGTTTGGTTAAATAAATAAACAAAAGGTTACAATGGGGTACAATATAATATAATGATTGTGAATGAAACTTCCTCGAATAGTAAAAATTATATAGATCTAGATAAAGCCTTGTTGAATTTAAATATTCTCCAAATGTTTTCTTTATCTTCCACCGATTTTAGAAAGCAAATCCCCTGACCAGAGATAAAGTTCTTGTCTTTTATGAATCGAAAATCCATTCAATGAAAAACATTCCACCAAAAAATCACGAGGAACGTGGCTTAGTCTGTCATTTAATCAAAAGCCCCCCTCCATTTCCCTTAAGATTTTTTTTTAGTATTCTTAGTAGACAGGTGTCAAGTGCAATTAAATTCGGTAAACGGCTGCCGTTTCTTATAGGGCCTTTAATTAACTCAATAAGAAAATCGTATGCAAATTGTTATGGGTTTTCCATTAGCGCTTGACCTCAGGAGACATCACCTCACCCCTTCGAGCATTCATAGATCGAATGGTGGAAAAAATCAATGAAAGACGAGGCGACTCAAGGCGTGTCGGGGAATTAGGGGGCAAGTGGGCGTGGCAGGTGTTACCAAGTAAGTAGGGCTTCCATTGGCACTTTTGCTGATGCTGACAGAAACAAGAAACGAGAAACGAGAGGGTGGGCCACTCAATTCGGCTTGAAGGGGCAACCAACTTACGGGAGACTAACGACTTGCTGGCCTTTTAGCAGTTAACTCAAAACGGAGACTCCATCCTCAACACGGCCCACATTAAACGTTACGTTACGTTTGATATGCATGTGTGGCATGTGCGCACAATGGTGGTCAAGAAATTAGTTGCAGTAATAGGAAAATTCCAATAAGGCAACTAAGACACTTTGGATAGCTCTTAAAGTGTTTTATATCTATAAATGAAACCAATATTGCTTTTAAAAAGGAAAAATGAATCTTTAAGCAACTAATGTATATTTATTAATGCTTAGCATCTCCAGCCAAGTCGATTTAGACATGTACGCCTGTCCGTCTATGTGTAAAACAGATCTTAGAGACGAAATTTGCTTACAATATTTCACTTTCGTCCTTAAAAATCATGGAAAACTGTAACTAACCTATAATCAAACAAATTATATTGAATATTCAGGCTTGTTCAGAATAATTAAAAATAAAGATAACATTTTAAGTATTAACATGGAAGTCATAATATGAAAATGTTATTAAAATTAAAATGTTTTTTAGCCCTATCACAAAGGAACTATCTCCTTTCGTAGTTAAGCTCAAAAAGATGCTTAGTTAGTGTTTGAATTTAATGTAGAAACGTTTGTATACAGGGTATTTAAAGTCTACAATAGTTTTCTAACTTTTTAGCTGCATTTTTTCCTAACTTTAATTCTGAAAACTCTGAGCTTGGCAAAGGCCAGGCTGAGCTCAAAATAGGCCATAAATCCCCATAATTTATACACATTGAACTATTCCTATGACCGCACTCATATTGTTAACTTTTCGTGGTGAACTATTCTTCTGACCGCAATTGTTGATCCTCACAAACATGTTCGCTGAAAGAGCGGACAAGAAATCTGCATAAATTAAATTATATTGTAAACAAAATATTTATGGCGCGGCGACGCAGCGGCGACCAAGAGTTGTAATAAATTCGCGCTTTAAAAAAATATATATGTACATACATATATAAAAAAATGCCACTAAGAAACTCGTTTCGAACCGAAAATATTTCAGCATGAATTTTTGTTGTCACAATATGAGTGAAACATGGGCATGGCATGGCACTCGACACAGAGAGAGAGACAGGTACGAATAAAAAATATAAAACTACTGCGAAGAGGGCAAAAGTTATCATTAGGCAGCTCTTAATTTAACTGGCACACTTGAAAATCCTCATCAACAATATTATTTAACTGTTCACATCGAGTTTTATGCTAATTTGCGGCCATAACAAGTCAGAACTGCTCCATGGAGTCGACCATTTGATGACCAATAAACAGCAAATGAAATTCTTTCAATACCTTTC